CCAGTAACCTGCTGGTCTCCAGTAACCTGCTGGTCTCCAGTAACCTGACAATTGCCAGGAGTCCAGCTTCTGTACACATCCATCTTTCTTCAACTTGAGTTTCAGCGGACCATTCGGGCCATAGTCTTGCATAAAAGCACATTTCTTTTGAAGTTAAATTTGTCCTTTAATTAAAACACTAATCTCCAACTTCCAACAAATGCAAGCTGTGTTAAAGTGGACTTCCCTTCAAACCATTAAACTTCTGGGATGCTGATGAAGGACAGAGGAGGATGAAGAGGATGGAGACCCGACACAGAAACAGCAGGACAGATGAGCGGTGCCATGACGCCTGAACTAACCAACGACTGAGACGACACATGAACGCACCAGGCCACGAGGTTCAACCTGATGAACCACAGACGGTGGTCTGCTGGTCAAACTGGCACCAAGACATATTTATGGAACTCTATGGAAGCTCTTCTAGAAGCTTCCAGCACTGACACTTTGTATTGTTCTGCTGTCTGTTCAGCTCTGAAGATCCTCAAAGCAAAGTATTTAACAAACTACCCGACATGTTTGATATTCAGAACACAATTACAGCTTCCTTTGGTGAGACGTGAAATTCTGCAGTTTTCTGCCTCAAGGAAGCATCGGAGCGTTTTACAGATCAAACAATAAACTGTTCTCACAAGCAAAGCTGCACATCAGAGTACACGCGTGATCCAAACCCAAGATAAGAAGATACGTCTCCAGGCTTTCTCTGTTAGTTTGCAACAAAATTGCAGATTATATCTGCAAGTGCAATAATTCCACTTGTTCTAACTTGACTAGATCACAATCTACATTTATTATTCGTCAGTGTTAACTTCTATTACGTTAATGCACTCTTTAAAACTATTGTAGTGAACTTAATCTGAGGTCAAGACTAAGCCTAAGGTCAAAACTCTTGACCTTAAGAACCTTGTGGGACAGGAACTGTCATTTCATTGATTTGAATCCAGAAATACAGGTTCACCCATCCTGAGACTTTCTTTCTTGAAAATTCAAGTGGAAGAACACTCTCTGTTCTATTATCATTACTATTTTACAAATGTTGATAATCAAAGTGTCTTAGTTCAAACCATTTTAGATGTTGCAGTGAACTAATCAATTTTATTAACTGTGTAATGATTTTTAATTCTCATGCAAAGTTAGAACTCATGTTAAAGCTGTTACAGATTTTTATGCATTTTCTGATTTCTGCTTTTGAATGAGCAAGTGTGCGTTTTCCAGGGTCAGGAATCGAAGCAGACATGTGTTGGAACAACTGTCCTGTTTATATCCTCTCAGACGTCAACAGGGGGGTTTTGGCACCTGTTTTTCAAACTCGCCAAAACAAAACTCTCTCTGTCTGTGAGAACATTTCTGATCTGTTCCATAACAATTCTTGCTGTCTTCTAACCTCTTACGTCACAAAACACACCCCCGTCTGGTCGGTTCTGACCAATGGGAAGACTCCCGAATGAACCGGGAAAAGAGCTCTTTAAAATGTCGGTACTTCCTGGTCTACCCAGTTCTGGAAGTTTGGTGAGTTCTGTGAGAGTTGAAGTGAGTTCAGTTCTGCGCGGAGAAGCACAGTTCTGTGGGTTCTGTTGGATACACGGTTCTGTCGAGTTGGAGAAGTTCGGCGGCGCGGACAGTTCTGATATGTCCTAGCGCTGGGCAGTAGCTGTGGGAGCCGGGAAGATCCTGACATGACAACAGAGCTCTTCTGAGTTTCATGGGATTATAACATTTTCCACTGAGGTGAGCTGTGGCGGACAGAATCTCGCCATTACTCCGGACGATTCACAGCCATCCTACGGAGACGCTGAAGGGTGCGTTAAACGGAACCTCGCCTGAGACATCTCCAGGTAAAAGAGTCGATTTCACCACCTAAGTGTACTGTAAGGAAGAAGCTGAAGAAAGCCCGGAGAGTGCCGTTCTGTTCAACACTCTACCTCAACACCATCTTTCTCCCCTTTAAACTTCATCTTGTCATCTTTAAACTCTTCTATCAAGTAGAAATTCTTCCAGATATTTTAGAAATGTCTGTGTAAAGTGCTCATCCACCGCCGTGTGGGTAAAAGATCATAATTGTACAGTTTTCATAAATGTCTGTGGTGAAGCAACGGAAAAATCATGGCCGTATGATTTTTCCTGATTGATTGCTTTTGTTGTTAATTTCATAATTTGCCAAATTAATGTAAATGTTTGATGTTAAACTTTGATTCTGTAAATAAATGACCGCATTCATTTTGATGGGTCAAAGATAAATGACGTCTCACGTTTGCATTTCATTAAATTCAATGCACGTTTTATTCAGTCCAGAAAAATGAGGAATCCGTGTTAATTGATGAATATATCTGAGCATCTGTTCATCTACACTAT